GTTCTTCATGACAGTCCTAATGCTCTTGGACCAAGTGTCTTCGTGAAAAGTCTGAGGAAGGAGCAGGAAGTGAGGAGGATCCGGCTCCAGAGGGATTTGATTGACACTCAGCCATGCAGATAGGAGTGATCATTACCCAGTATGAGGAGTGTCTTCACAGCGAGGATAAATGGGTCGTTCAGGTAAGCAACGACCATTTGGCTAAACAATATATATATATTTTAAGAACCTTAGACTGTCAGCCCAGTTTACACATGAAAAACTTAAATACTGTCCTCTGTAGCTCACTCGTCATCTTCATCTTCTTTGTTCATAATCTGGAAAAGAAAAACAAGCTTTCCTGCTTTATCGGATCCCAAACAATTTCTCAATTTAGAATGAATGAGTCCAAAGGAAGAGAATATTCTTTCAACACCTGCAGAAGAAGCTACTGCTGTTAAAAGTGAAATCATTACTTGAACAGTCTCTAAATCCAAGTGCTTAAGTGACTTCCACCAGTTCACTGGTGTGACTTTCTTTAAAATATCTTCAGCAAACATACATTTCTTGAATGGTTCCCCCTTAGCTTTGAAGTTTATTATAGTTGGCATTACAGATGGATGATTGCTGGATACCCATGTCCTAGCTAACTCCTCTTCCTCAGCACTTAAGTTTTGACCCTGATACTGGATATTGACAATATTTGCCAAAAAATGAGCTGGAGACAGTACTTGCCCCATTCGTTTTTTTAATGCTTGTAATTTAATTCTGTCCACGTGTAGTTCTGTTTTTAAGTGTTCACTCAGTTCCTTCCAAATTTCAACAGCATCAGCAATAAAACAGATATTTTTCTGTATTTTGTTTAAAGCTTCAGAGATGGGTTTCAGGATGCTCAGCATATGTTCAACATTTCTCTTAAGCCCAATGTTGAGGATTTTGGCCGTGACAGTGCCATCTATTTTATCTCGATTTTCTTCACAAACTGTCATCGGAATAGGCCAGTTCTTGATATACTGCTCAAAACAGTCCACTACAGAGTTCCATCTAACATCTTGTGGGAGCGTTACCTTGGTTCCACCCATCCTTTTCAGAGCTGCAGCAGCAAAATGATTGTTACGGAAGTATTTAGCAATTTCAACAACATTAGTCTTTATTTCTGGAACACTTAAGTCTTTGGCTAAGAGGTGCAGCAAATGAGCACTGCAACCATATGTTATTAGCTTTGTATTCCCTTCCTGCTCTTCTAAATTTCTTCTCATCTTGGATATATTTGCAGCATTGTCTGTGACCAAACTGCGTACTAGACATTTGAATTTTTGTTCACATGTTGTTATAGCTTTTACTGCCACTTCTTGTAAGTATTCTGCTGTGTGTGCATTTCCTGACGTATCAATTGTTTGTGGAAGGAAGACTTTCCCTTCTTCTGTTGTTATACAAGCACATACAATAGGATCATTGTGGACATTACTCCACCCATCAATACTTAGGTTAACAATTCTACCCTCCAGAGCTCTTGCACATTGCTCCATTTCTCTGTCATACACTTTATCCAGCAGTTTCCCTGCAACATCTGCTCTGCTGGGTGGACTGTATCCTGGTCTCAGTGACTGAACCATATTAATGAAATATGCGTTCTCAGTCAGACGGAAAGAAGAGTTCATTGCATAAACAAACTGGGCAATTTTTTCATCAATTAACTCTTTTTCTAATCTGCTAGTTTTTATCACAAATTTATCTATGATGGTTCCAGGAGGGAAGGGTTTTTTCTTTCTTTTAGGTGATAGTGCTATGTGGCTGTGGGTGTCTGATGATGATGATGCTAATGAAGCACCATCCTGGATGGATAACTCTGAAACTGTAGAACAGGAGGATGGTGATCTTGAAGGTGGATAGTTACCAGAATCCATGAATTCCCCTAAACAAAAAAGTCAATGCTGTTATTTTTTTGTTTATACAATTTCTGCTTATTGTACACAGCACTGCCCCAAAAGGAATATTTGCTTTTCTTCATAACTGTACCAAATGACAGTAACATGCAGTAATAATAAGAAATATAATTTTGCTCAAACATGACAGTTCAAGGCAGTCTTTAGAAATATGATTCAATAAAAATGTTTACCAACCTGAAGATCCTGCCTGTTCAAATGTGTTTCTTTGGTCATCTTCATCACAGCACTTCTCATGATGTTGCTTCATTCGGGCCACCAGGCCTTGCATTTCTTTGTTGCAGTGTTTGCAGTTTGCACGCATGCCTGCCTTACCGATAGGTAAAGGAACTTCATTCAAATATTGCCAAACTGGGTCTCTTTTACGGCCTGCTGCCATTATAGGTTTTTTCCTCCAAGGAAAGAATGTGATAAACCTCAGGTCATACACACAAAAAGATCCAAATACTTGTCTGTCTGTGGCTGTGCAGTATTGTGCTCAGAAAGTTTCACTTTCATTTTGTACTGCTTGTCTGCTTGCCCCTTCCTCCTCACACTTAGTTTCACTTACATCTTGTGCAGATCTATTCCACCCCAAACAATCAGAAAAATATTGTTTCTATTCTGTTCACTGAACTTCTTGAAACTTAGCACTGAAGGGGTTGATTCTGTATTCATAGGTTTGTAGAAAAATAGGATTAAGGTCTTTTTCTCAACTCTGTTCATGTAATAACATTTTTGCTGTGAAGAAGAGGCATGTGATCTCTGCTGAGTCAAATTCAGTTTTGAGAACTTCAAAAGTAAACCAAGCATCTGTGATAGTATCTTGTAGGCAGAGAAACTGCTCAATAATCTTACAAAAACCTCTGGAAGAGCATGATATTGTGAATGGATTAATGGAATTTATTTAGCAAAAAAATTAAACATATACAGCCTTATTCTACATAATTAAAAAACTAATCTTTATTTCATGATGGAATAACCTTTGGATGGTAATATATTTTCCTCAAAAAGCATTTTATTTAAAAAAATCTGATTTAAATCAAAAAAATCCGATTTAAATAAAAAAAAATTGATTTTTTTAAAAAAAATCATTGATTTTTATCCACCCTGCTGACAATTGAAAGGACTTTATTACAGGTAGTCCTCGACTTACAACAGTTCACTTAGTGACCATTTGAAGTTACAATGGCACTGAAAAATGTGACATGACCATTTTTCACACTTATGACCATTGCAGCATCCCCATTGTTACGTGATTTACATTCGGATGTTTAACAACTAATGTTTATGACGGTTGCAGTGTCCCGGGATCATGTGATCACCTTTTGCAATCTTCTGACAAGCAAAGTCAATGGGGAAACCAGTTCCACTTTACAACCATGTTACTAATTTAACAGTTACAGTGATTCACTTCACAAATGTGTCAAGAAAAGTTGTAAAATGGAGCAAAATTCACTTAACAAATTTCTCACTCAGCTACATAAATTTTGAGCTCAATTGTGGTCATAGGCTGAGGACTATCTGTATATTCCATTGCTAAAGAAATAATGTAAAAAAAAGGAAAAGTAAGAGCCTAAATAACTTACATTATGTAGCAGTATTTTGTTCCTTAATTTGTGTATACTTCATAGCATACAGAAGTATCAGAATTCTGAAATGCCATGACTTGATTTACACGAAATACCCATGTTTCCCATGAGGTTAACAAGCTGTAACCAATCTCCTTCATTGTCTTATTTTTTTAACAACTCGGAAGCAGTAAATAATTCTGCTTTCAGTGTTAAATTAACTGCTTCTTTAGATGGGACTTAAGCTATATTTAACTATTCTAAAGTTCTCAAATCATAGATTTCTCACCTGTGGACATATTGGTAAACCAAGCAGCTGATCATTTATGATGGGTAATGCTTGTAGCTTATAAAGATTAAGTCATGTCAATTATTCTTTTCTCTTTTAGTAGACAGCAGCACATCATTTAGAGATTAATTACTTATAGGTGTTGGTGTTGTATTTCAAGTCTTGGTGGCACCCAGCACCAATTCAAGACATTTTTAAAAAAATGCACATTACTTACCTATAGGCTATTGTTAGAAATGGCAAAATAAAAAAGATACGCCACTTTAAAGAAATCTCAGATTAATATTGCACTCAAAGGTCAAGACATACACATGTGATAGAATGTTTTCCATTTCATCTGTCTTGGCCAAAAAATTGATTGACAGCTGAAGTTACCTATGGTTATTCCTCTATTAAATTAAATCCTTGTCACTTTATCTATAGTTGTCAGTGGTGTGTCTTTGGCAGCAGGGAGTTAGGAGCAAGTAACATCCAGCAGATCAGCAAGCAAACAGTTCTTAAAGTACTTTTGCTATTACAGAAATACTGTTTTAAAACCATAGGTCAGTTTCAATGTCCTTTTAATCTATTTTTAATACTTGTTATAATTTTATTGGTACAGCATTATGTAAAAAGAATTACAATTATACTGGTGCTTTTCATGCATGTTGGACAGAAACATGCATCCTATTGTGAAAATGATGGGAGTTGGAGTTAGCAGTTTAAATTTAATAACTTAATGTAGTCTATGTAATTTTGATAACGTAAATTTAATAAACAATGAAGGTTATCAGCTTAAGAAAGACTGCATTAGATGTCTTCACAATCCAACCAGAATACCAGTATGAAGACTTAATTATTAGTTTGAGATTTTCGCTGTTCCTCTGATCTTTTTTTTTTTGATTGGTATTACGATTTTTAAAATTAACAATCAAAGTTTTAATTAAAAGGTTCTATAATGTCTGCTCTTGAACAATTCCTTCCTTTTAAAACATATGTTCAGAACTTTTCTTACACTGAATCTAGATCACATATCTATATACATTTTTCCTTTGAAATATTATATTGCATTTAACCAAGCAAATAATTGGCAATCTTTAACCAATACATTCATTCATTATACACAGCTTAAGGGGGGCAAATGGTGTCTGTTAACACCCAACAGACCATATAAATCTTGCAATAGCCAAAGTCTGCTGAATGTGGTACTTCAGATTTAATGTGCAAATTGGAAAACATTGATTTGTTTTGTTTTAGAGCTTGGATGAATATGATGATGATGAAGCAGGACAAAAAGAACGGAAAAGAGAAGATGCAATCACACAACAAAATACAATACAAAATGAATCCACTGTTTCGGATCCAAATACTTCATATATATTGCAGGTGAGATGTTGTAATACATATCTACAAATACCTTTAATTTTTTATGATTTTAGTGCACTGTTACATTGATCAGGCATTATTGATTAACATTCAATAATATGATACAGAAATCATAACTTGTCCTCATAACTTTGGCTATTGCCTCTGCCTTCTGGATTATTTTATAGCAACTCTTTGTCTGTAAAAAACCCAAACAACCATTTATGTACTATCATGAAGGATAAAATAAAGTGGTATATAGCACTCGATAGTTATAGGATGAATCAGGCATACCTAGCACCATTTTTGGAGTATGCTATGTCCAATAAGCAAATTCTTTAAGGAGTAGGTCAATCTGGATAAAGTTAAGACCTTAGAGAAATTTCTAATAAACTGAACGAGATATCAAGGCTCAAATATACTGTAAGTAGAGGTGGAAATAATGCACAGATACATAGACTTGTAACTACTTTCTGATAGAATAAAAAAATAAATAAAATGTTATTGTGGTCTTAGACCAGGTCTTGCCTTGTCCACCCAACCGCTCTGGAAGCAAACAACAACCAGAAGGAAACGAAGCGGTTTGCAGCGTCTTTAATCAGGTTAAGCACAGCAACACAGGCAGGAGTAAGGCACAAGCCGGCATCGACGTTTAAAGTTAGTGCTACACGCAGCCGCTGTGTAGCGCTCTTTATACACTTAGTAACAAGCAATTTACCATTTGGCAATCAAACAGTTAACACCACACACCCCTTCCCACTAGCTTGCTTGATGATAGGGCGCTCTTCCTGTTATGTCACAAGGAGGCACCATTCGCAAGCTTTATGCTCCACCGAGCTCCGATGAAAGCGTTAGTTTCTTTTGTGCTTGAGCGGCAAGGTCCCTCCAAACAGCTGAGAGCACGTCACTGGAGTTTACAGCCGCTCGGCCCCTTCTCATCTTCCTCCCCAACAATGGCGAGAGCCATCCAGAGCTCGACAGGCGGCTCCCCTCTACCAGGAGTCCACCTGCAGGGGGTAAAACAGAGACATTAGTTACGGAAGATACTCTACCCACTGGGTCCCAGTTTATCTGGATGTTGGCGATGATACCAACGGATTAACCGGTCAGCATGGACATCTGGAGCTGCCACCCAAGATGCTTGTGCTAACAGATAACCTTTCCAACGTACTAAGTACTTCAGCCTGCCCCTGTGTAGTCAGGAATCTAACACTTTATCTATCTCATACTGGTCGGTATGGCTCGGTCCTGGTGGGTCAGGCTGAGTCGTAGCTCTATCCCCACTGACGGGCTTTAGGAGGCTGCTATGAAAAACAGGGTGTACTTTTCCTAACAGTGAAGGTAATTTGAGCACTACAGTGACGGGGTTAATCATGCGTGTTATAGGGAAAGGACCTATATATTTGGGTCCTAATTTCTTACTAGGCAACCGTAGTTTTAAATATTTGGTTGATAAATAAACTTGATCCCCCACTGAAAACGGTTTTGGATCTGCTCTTTTTTTTATCAATATACAGTTTGTATTCACTCGCTGCTTTTTGTAGAGCAGCCTTAACCTCTGGCCACGTTTGTCGGATTTTGTCTGCCCAGCCGGAAGGCGTAGCTACATCTGTAGCTGGAGGTTCTACTTCAGGTATGGCAGGGAATTCTCTCCCGTAGATGATTTGGAAAGGAGAAAAGCCCATACTACGATGGCTGATGTTATTGTATGCGACTTCAGCAAACGGGATCAAAGCAGACCAGTCAGTTTGTTGGTAAGAAACATAACAACGGAGATAACGTTCCACTGCGGCATTAGCCCGTTCTACGGCCCCGTTAGTACTGGGATGGAAGGCTGAACTTAATCCCTGGGTAGATCCTATCCGGTGGATGAAAGATCTCCAGAATTGAGCAGTGAACTGGACACCCCGATCTGATATAATTCGCTTTGGAACTCCATGAAGACAGTAAATATATTGGATGAACATGTCTGTCAACCGTCGAGCAGACGGTAAACCTCGACAGGGTATGAAGGACGCTTGCTTCGAAAATAGGTCCACTACCGTCCAGATGATGGTATATCCATTGCTAGAAGGGAGGTCCACTATAAAGTCCATCGCAACCTCCTCCCATGGACGACTAGGATCAGCCACTGGCTGCAAATGCCCAATCGGCTTCCTCGTCATCTGTCCAGCGCCTTTCCCTCCAGCCCCTGAAAGACGGATCCAACAGGGGAGGAGTTGGCAGTTTAGAACCAGTGTGGGTGGAGCTGGGCCACCAGTCTCCACCGGAAGCCTGTCCAGAATGCTCAAACCCCTGACTCTGCGTACCAGCCGGCCCACAACAATCCTCCTCACGTAGCTGGCGCAGTTTGGGTCTGACCACCGGCTGTTCAGAGGGTGCGGTTTGCAGCTCCTCCGCTTCCACGAGCATCTCCTCCACACCTGCCTCTAGAGGTACCTCCAACTCCAAGGCTCCTGGCGCCGTCCCCTCAGCCATAACAAAACTCCTCCAACACACAAAACACCGCTAGAAAAGGTGGTTGGGATGGTGATTGAGGAGAGCGCTAACTTTTTCTCGGCTTGTCCACCCAACCGCTCTGGAAGCAAACAACAACCAGAAGGAAACGAAGCGGTTTGCAGCGTCTTTAATCAGGTTAAGCACAGCAACACAGGCAGGAGTAAGGCACAAGCCGGCATCGACGTTTAAAGTTAGTGCTACACGCAGCCGCTGTGTAGCGCTCTTTATACACTTAGTAACAAGCAATTTACCATTTGGCAATCAAACAGTTAACACCACACACCCCTTCCCACTAGCTTGCTTGATGATAGGGCGCGCTTCCTGTTATGTCACAAGGAGGCACCATTCGCAAGCTTTATGCTCCACCGAGCTCCGATGAAAGCGTTAGTTTCTTTTGTGCTTGAGCGGCAAGGTCCCTCCAAACAGCTGGAAGCACGTCACTGGAGTTTACAGCCGCTCAGCCCCTTCTCATCTTCCTCCCCAACAATGGCGAGACCCATCCGGGGCTCGACACCAGGATTTAACTATTACAACTATTTATTAGTACAATCTGTAAATATTCTGATTAAAATCAGACCAACATGAATTAACAGAATTCACAGGAATACAAATCAGTTAACTGTTAACTGTTATAACCCAGAACAGCAGCCTTACTAGAGTCCTCCCTTATTGCCAGTATACACTATTTTGCATTTCAATTTGTAATCTCAGAATTTCTATATGTTAATATTGTAGTCCTCAAGGTAGGACCTCAATTGAACCCAAATTTCTGTGGCTAAGTGAGAGTGCTGTTAAGTGAGTTTTGGCCCATTTTACGGCCTTTCTTGTCACAGTTGTTAAATGAATCACTGCAGTTGTTAAGTTAGTAGCATGGTTATTAAGTGAATCTGGCTTTCTCATTCATCTTGTTTGTCAGAAGGTTGAAAAAGATGATAACATGACCCCGGGCATTGCAACTGTCACAAATATGAGTCAGCTGCATTTGAATCTTGATCATGTGACCATGGCATGCTGCAATGGTCATAAGTTTGAAAAACAATCTTAAGTTCCTTTTTTCAATGCCATTGTAAATTTGAATGGTCACTAAACAAACTGTTGTAAGTCGAGGACTCTCCGTAAATAGTTTGACCAAGTATATATCCAATGACAGTGATTGGTTCTGTTGAAATTAAAACAGTCAGCCAAACCAATTTCATTGTCTTCTAGTTAATATTGTTAATTGTTTTGATCTTTAATTTTAACTATTTCTTTCAAAGAGTTTTGTAATAAGTAAACTCTGATGGGTTTAGTTAGTTAACTACAGTAGTATTTTTTTCCCCATAAATAATGATTTGCAGTATTGGAGTTCCCCTATCATTACATAGGCTTTTCATTACCAGATACTACAGGAAAACACCTAAAACTGATAGCCCTTAAATAAATGTTCAATTTTTTTTAAAAAAATATATCTATACATAATTAATTTTAGTTATCATGTACAATAGTATGTATTTGCCATATTTATTTAATAAATTATTACATTTAGAAAAATTTTAGCCATCTTTGGGGGCTAAAAATCTAACCCAAGCAGCTTCCATGAAAGAATTCTCTTCATAATTACTTAGACTACTAAGGACTTTATTTAATAGAACTAGTAAACATTCATTGCAATACATTGCACCTTCAAAGTCCCTTTGGTTCAAAGGGGCTTAGTCCTATGTAAGTGAAATCTGCTATTTTCTTAATAAAAAAAGCTACAAACTTTATTGAATATTTCACTATGAAAATTGGGGTTTTACAGTTCAAACAAAAAACTTGTTCATTTTATTCATTGCAAGAGTTAAATATTTCATGGGGTATTATTTCAGTAATATTCAAATTCCTAATTTTGCTATATTTTTCTGACATCTAGAATTCAGTTCCTATCCCTGAACTAATAGATAATTTTAATACTTCACATTTTACCTTAACATCAAAATATTAAGTGCACAGCAAAATAAAACATTGCTCATTATTTATCACATTGTTTCATATAGTAGGGTATGTGTGTCTATGTGTACTCAGAAGCCATTCCATGATGCTAATAATGAAACTTTCAGTAAAAATATTGTACCAGCAACATAAAAGCCAGAATGAAAATCTCAAGTGACTATTTAATTGTGTGGGAATGCTGAGATATTTGATGAATTCCCATTATAAGCAGAATTGAAAGCTTGCCTGACATTTGTTTCCCAAAATCTTTGTGGTTGCATGTTAATTTTCAAATGTTTCTTCCAAACAAGCTGTAACAAATTGTATAGGATTCTGCTTTATAAAATACCAAAGAAGAAAATCTGTTCCTTGCTTTTTTTCTCCCTACTTCTGTTTCATTCTGTTATTACAAAAGTCAAAGAACTAGATGGTAGTCACTGAAGTGTGAATAATATTAGAACAGCACTAATGTTTATTATATATGTATGTATGTATGTATGTATGTATGTGTATGTATGTATGTATGTGTATGTATGTATGTGTATATATATATATATATATATATAATGAATAATTTCAGATTTCATAATACTTGTACTTAGCGCTGTGGAGTATAGCAAGATCAAAAACAGGTTCTAGCAAGAATGTCTGTGACCGGACACATTGGCTTCTTTGCCCATTTTTCTATTTCCAGAAAGAGAGTTTCCATTTGTAAAGTGGTGACATAGTGGCTAAAATGGTTTGTAATTATTTATATCAGGCACGATAGTGATCTCCTTTAGTCCTTGAAGCTTTGTCCTCTGGTCATGTTAGCAGGGGAATGATGATCGGACTTGAAATTGAACAATTTGGAAGTCTGTTTATAATCAATAATAAATGATATATTTATTAAATGACATATCCCTTGTTGTTTTAATTTTTGTTATCTATTTTTCATTTGGGGATGTTTTCATAAATTGCATTGAGTGTAATTTAAGGCAAAGCTGGGATATAAATGAACAACAATAAGTTATATTTATTCCCTTCTTCATTTATGCAATACCACTTCTTATTAACACCACTTTTCAAAGCTGCTGACAATTTATGCTCATTGCTCAATATATTTCTACCATATAAAGTCCTCTGACTATGGATAAATAATTGTAGATACAATTCTCAGCAGAATTTCCATTGGGCTCCATGGTCCAAAATGTACTGGATCCTACTGTAAAAACCTCCATGATTGTGAAGCAGTTTCTCACTGTAAACGGTTTTTGCTGGATTTTTATATTAACTGAAGAATGGTATTTGGACTCATGTCAGGCACACATCTCTAATTGTTTTGAGTTATAATTATAAATCAGCAATTATAAATGTTAGGTACTTAATTGTGTTTTTAAAATATATTTTAACAGGATACCTCTAGGACTATTGGAAACAGATACAAAAGGTAAGGAATTGTTTAGTAGATTTTTAATCAGTGAAGTATAACTACAACTCTACTGAAAGCAAACATTCAAATTTGGTACTAAAGCTCTTTGTTTAATAATAAAAGTCTTTTGAACTCTATAAAACCTAGAATTGCAAGTTAAGACTGTTTATTAATTAGTTTTGTATACCTCATAGTGAGACCCAAAAATAGACTTAATGGAGGCTATAGCTTACTGAGCTATAGCCTTTTGGACTGGAGGAAAGAAGTGGAAAATAAATGTTAACATTAAAAAAATTAATTGAAAAGATGGGAGACTAAATGACATTTTCAAGAAAATAATTCAAGTTCTGTAGGAAATTAGATGTAAATACCTAAGAACTAATAGATTACACAGCTTTCCCTAGATATATAGGTGCTTTTTAGTCATATACACTTCAGGACACACAGGGTCACCATTCTAATATGTATGCTACTGCTTTTAAGTGCTTCTATTAACTAAACCAATCTTAATCTATTGTTTCCCAGTTAGTGGTACTCATTTGTACATTATCACCCAACAGTCACTCTATCAAAATTGTAAGCCCCATCAACGTAGGAACAAAAAGTCTGCTTTTACTGATACTATTTTTTCAGTAATTCTGTAATTATATTTAGTAGTTTTTAAGAAGCTAAACATTCCAATAACTATTTTTATTATAAAGTAATGAATAATAATTGTGAGTAAAGCAATGTTGCTTCTATGGGAGTAGATGTTTCTTGGGTACAATCTCATAAAGATATCCAAAAGAGAGCAAATTAGCACAATATGTTACATAACTTTATTTTTTCCAAACATAAAGAGAAAGTGATGGCAATAAAGCCTGACCCTTTTATCTTCCTTTTCTACTATTTTTTGGGTAGGTAATGCCCAAGAAACTATGACACTGAAAATAACCAATCTAAGCAAAAGATTTGGAAGGGCAAAAGAAAAGTTTAGCCATTATACAATGACAATATTACGTTCCTAAGAGGACTCCATAATATCTTCAAGAAACATAACTTTCAGGGTTGTAAAGATACGGTTTTATTACATTAACATGACAGAAGATGAGTCTTCCTTTTGTTTCATTCCACTTTAAGTAAGTATTCTCGGAAAATCCAACATTCTCCCTTTAGCTCTAGAAAGTTGAACATCCTATGGCAGTGATGGCTAACCTTTTTGCCATCGTGTGCCAGGAAGGGGGGGCGGGGGAGGTTTGCGCGTGTGTGTGCCTACACCCATAATTCTATGCGTCCTGCCCTGCGCATGTGTGCGCAACCCCCCTCCCCCCTGCTTCTGACATCCGATGGCCCAGTAGGCCCGTTTTTCTTTCTTACGTGGCTCCAGATCCTCTCTATGTGTCTGGGAAGGGCGAAAACAGCCTTTCCCACTCCCTCGGAGGCCCTCCAGAGGCCTGAAAGGGCCCATTTCCCAACTCCCGGTGGGACAGGAAGTGACTTTTTTGCTGTCCCCAGCCTACAGAGCCTTGCCTTTAAAAAAGGGAAGAGATTAGGCCAAGCCCGGCTGATTAGGTCTTCACAGCGCGGCGGAAGGTGCGCAGATCCGGGATCCTCCGTATCTCCGGGGGGAGCTCATTCCATATGGTAGGTGCCCCCACAGAGAAGGCTCTTCCCCTAGGGGCCGCCAGTTGACACTGTTTGGCTGACGGCACCTGGAGGAGTCCCTCTCTATGAGAGCGTACTGGCCGGTGGGAAGCTATTGGTGGTAGTAGGCGGTCCCGTAGATAACCAGGTCCTAAGCCATGGAGCGCTTTAAAGGTGGTAACCAAAACCTTGAAGCGCACCCGGAAGACCACCGGGAGCCAGTGCAGCTCGCGCAGGAGAGGTGTTACATGGGAGCGCCATGTCGCTCCCATTACCACCCGCGCAGCCGCACTCTGCGCCAGTTGGAGCCTCCGGGTGCTCCTCAAGGGGAGCCCCATGTAGAGAGCATTGCAATAGTCCAGGCGGGAGGTGACGAGGGCATGAGTGACCGTGCATAATGAGTCCCGATCCAGAAAGGGACGCAACTGGCGAATCAGGCGAACCTGATGAAAAATTCTCCTGGTCACGGCCGTCAAGTGCTCTTCTAAAGACAGCCGTGAATCCAGGAGGATGCCCAAGTTGCGAGCCCTCTCCGTGGGGACCAATGATTCGCCCCCAATAGTCAGTGATGGCATCAACTGACTATATCGGGACGTCGGAAACCACAGCCACTCGGTCTTGGATGGGTTGAGCCTGAGCCTGTTCCTCCCCATCCAGATCCGTACGGCCTCCAGGCACCGGGACATCACTTCAAGGGCATCGTTGGGGTGATCCGGGGTGGAGATGTACAGCTGGGTGTCGTCAGCGTACTGATGGTACTCCACCCCGAAACCATGGATGATCTCGCCCAGCGGCTTCACATAAATGTTGAACAGGAGAGGCGAGAGGACCGACCCTTGCGGCACCCCACATATGAGGGGCCTCGGGGTCGACTTCTGTCCCCCTGTCAACACAGACTGCGAGCGGTCAGAGAGAAAGGAGGAGAACCACCGCAACACAGTGCCTCCCACCCCTAACTCTTCCAACCGGTGCAGCATGATACCATGGTCGATGGTATCAAAAGCCGCTGAGAGATCTAACAGGACCAGGACAGAGGAACACCCCCTGTCCCGAGCCCTCCAGAGATCATCAACCAACACGACCAATGCCGTTTCCGTGCTGTACCCGGGCCTGAAGCCCGACTGGAACGGATCCAGATACGTCGTTTCATCCAGGTGCTGGGGGAGCTGTTGCGCAACCACACTCTCAACAACCTTCGCCACAAAACGAAGGTTGGAGACCGGACGATAATTTGCCAACATTGCCGGGTCCAGGGAAGGCTTCTTGAGGAGAGGCCTCACCACCGCCTCTTTCAAGGCGGCAGGAAAGACTCCCTCACCCAACGAAGCATTTATAATCCCCTGGAACCAGCCTCGTGTCACCTCCCGAGAAGCCAGCACTAACCAGGAGGGACACGGGTCCAATAAACAAGTGGTCGCGTTCAGTCTACCCAGAATCCTGTCCACGTCCTCAGGGGTCACAGGATCAAACTCATCCCAGATAACATTCTCAAGACCTGCCCCAGTCCCTCCCCCTGAGACTACCCAGTCGGAGTCCAGATCTTCCCGAATCTGAATGATTTTGTCATACAGATATTGAACAAAATCCTCGGCTCTACCCTCCAAGGGGTCCTCCCGCGCTTCCTGGTGGAGCAGGGAGCGGGTCACCCTAAACAGGGCTGACGGGCGATTATCTGATGATGCAGTAAGAGCAGCAAAATAGCTACATTTCGCTGCTTTTATCGCCACTAGGTAATTCCTAATATGAGATCTTACCAGTGTCCGGTCAGATTCCGAAAGACTGGCCCTCCAACTACTCTCTAGGCTTCTTTTCCAGTGCTTCAACTCCCTCAGCTCCTCAGTGAACCAAGGAGCTAAATGAGATCGGCGCCGGGTCAGAGGCCGCAAAGGCACGACCCGGTCCAGAGCTCCAGCGGCCGCCCTATCCCAGGCGGCCACTAGGTCTCCAGTCGAGGCATGTGCCAGAGCCTCAGGGAATGGCCCAAGCTCCATCTGGAACCTGTCAGGTTCCATCAGGCGCCTGGGGCGGAACCATCTTACTGGCTCTGCCTCCCTGCGGCGGGGTGTAGTGGTTCGAAGGTCGAGACGAAGGAGAGAGTGATCAGACCATGACAAGGGCTCGATGACTATATCCCTATCTCAAGATCACTCAACCACTGTCCAGAGACAAAAACCAGATCCAGCGTGTTTCCCCCGTGTGGGTAGGGCCATGAATTACCTGGGTCAGGTCCATGGCTGTCATGGAAGCCATGAACTCCTGAGCCACCTCCGACGCCTCACCCACGGACGGCAGGTTGAAATCCCCCATGACCATAAGCCTAGGGGTATCAACCGCCACCGCGGCGATGACGTTGAGTAGCTCAGGCAGGGCTGCTGCCACGTGGCAGGGAGCCAGCTACGTGATCAGCAAACCCCTCTGAACCCCGTAACCCCATTTCACAAGGAGAGATTCACAGCCGGCCGTCTGAGGAACAGTGGCCTCCCTCGGTCTCAGACCATCTTTAATGATAACCACTACTCCCCCGCCCCTCCCCTGTGACCTTGGCTGATGGAATGCGTGGAAACCTGGTGGGCACATTTCAATGAGGGGAACCCCCCCTCCTGGCCCAACCAGGTTTCCGTAATACCTGCCAGGTCCGCACCCCCCTCCTGAATAAGATCACAAATGAGGGGGGCTTTATTTACTACGGACCTGGCATTGCATAGCATCAGCCGAAGGCCTGGGCCCTGAGGGTCTATGCAACCTGGAGAACGGGTGGAGCCTTGGGGGCCGGAGCACGCCATTGCTCGTAAACAGCGGGTGCGCACTCCCCTAACACGATATGGCCCCCTGCTCCCGCCATATCTACCCCTCCCACCCACAGTATTGATGTTTGAAACACTATCCGGATGAGCTCTGACACCCCCCTCGACCCCAGGTCCCCCACCCCCCTCGCCGCACTTCGAGGCCAGACCCAACCCTCCCCCTTGTGGGTTTTCCCCCAAACCCACAACCCGAGTTCTAATTCGACCCTCCCCCTCCCTGGGACCCCTTAAAAGTTTAATTAAAAAATTTGATAAAAAAACCCTCAACCCCCTGGTTTTCACATGCCACCTCTCTGGGTCCCAAAACCCGTCCTTGAGGTAGGCCCTTGATAATGTGGAGGGCCAGATCTGCGAGAGGGGGGAATCTCGCAGCGCAAGAAGATCACAGGTAGTATACATCTTAGGTTACAACGAGGGAGGCGGAGATCGTAATCAGGGGTCCATTTGGTAATCCCGAAATCAGATGTAACACACAGCCATGAGGCTCCACTGGTAAATACACTGTCCTCTCACGATAGTTTGAGGGGTCTTTCACAGTTTCAGCCAAACGGAGAATGACATCCAGCCCGCCCTCTCACGGCGGGAGGCCCT